CATACATGGTGAGGACTCTACATACATGGTGAGGACTCTACATACATGGTGAGGACACTTCATACATGTTGATGACTCTACATACATGTTGAGGACTCTACATACACTGTTAGGACTCTACATACATGTTGAGGACTCTATATAGGTGGTGACGACTCTATATACATGATGAGGACTCTACATACATTGTGAGGACTCAACACATCCGGTAACGATTATACATACATGGTGACGACTCTACATAAAACGTAAGGACTCTACATACATGTTGAGGACTCTATATACATGGTTAGGACTCTACATACATGGTGAGGACTCTACATAGGTGGTGAGGACTCTACATACATAGTCATAGTGTAGACTCTACATACATGGAGAGGACTCTACATACATTGTGACGACTCTAAATACATGATGAGGACTCATACATGGTGAGGACTCTACATACATGGTGAGGACACTTCATACATGTTGATGACTCTACATACATGTTGAGGACTCTACATACACTGTAAGGACTCTACATACATGTTGAGGACTCTACTTAGGTGGTAACGACTCTACATACATGATGACGACTCTACATACATTGTGAGGACTCAACACATACGGTAACGACCCTACATACATGGTGACGACCCTACATACATGTTGAGGACTCTATATACATGGTTAGGACTCTACATACATGGTGAGGACTCTACATAGGTGGTGAGGACTCTACATACATAGTCATAGTGTAGACTCTACATACATGGTAACGACTCTACATACATGGTGAGGACTCTACATACATGATGAGGACTCTACATACATGGTGAGGACTCTACATACATGGTGAGGACACTTCATACATGTTGATGACTCTACATACATGTTGAGGACTCTACATACACTGTAAGGACTCTACATACATGTTGAGGACTCTACATAGGTGGTAACGACTCTATATACATGATGAGGACTCTACATACATTGTGAGGACTCAACACATCCGGTGACGACTCTACATAAAACGTTAGGACTCTACATACATGTTGAGGACTCTATATACATTATTAGGACTCTACATACATGGTGAGGACTCTACATAGGTGGTGAGGACTCTACATACATGGTGAGGACTCTACATACATGGTGAAGACTCTACAAACACTGCTAGGACTCTACAGACATGGAAAAGACTCTACATACATGGTTTCGACTCAACATACATTGTCAGGACTCTACATACATGGTGAGGACTCTACATACATTGTGAAGACTCTACAAACACTGTTAGGACTCTACATACATAGGGAAAATTCTACATACATGGTAACGACTCTACATACATGAGAGGACTCAACATACATGATTACGACTCTACATACATTCTGACGACTCTACATATATGGTGATGACTCTATATACATGATGACGGCTATTCATACATGCTGACGACTCTACATACATGGTGATGACTCTTTATAATACTGCACGTTTGTAACGTCCTTTTTCAATGGATAATCGTGACGTTTATATAGTTTGACATACACGGCTGTTGTCGATTCATGAAGAAATCTTACTTTTTTTCTCTAAAAAATGATGTTTGCTGTATTATAAATTCGTTATAAAGATTGTTGACAGGTTATTTGGCCGTGCATAAACGGATGTTTGCAATATAACCCTCGCCTAGCGGCTCGGGATATATTTACAAACAGTCGTTTATATAGGGCCATATAACCTATCAACAATTTTTATAACTAATAATATACATGCTGACGACTCTACATACATGACAACGACTCTACATCGTAATAACGATAACTTTAGCTGTAAGAATAAACGGTCTTAAGTTCATTTGTGAGAGAGGGTATGAGGGCGGGGCTACCGTTGGAGAATATGAATATATGATCAACCTGATGCGGGTGTTTATTAGGACAATGGAAAAGGGATTAGAAGGTCGGGAGCCAGAACTGTCAAGGACATTTCTCGTTATCTTGCGTATACATTTACAGGTTTCATTTTATTGATGCAGGTGGTGTAACCATGCAAGAACACATAGACAGTGTTGTAGTATGCTGATGTAATTAAGTTATGATAAGCCTCTTATGTATAATGCATGCATGCTCTGCCTCTCTGATACTTGTAGTTAGTTCTCATAATACACTTGATCAGTAAACATTAAAAGCTAGAAACTATCCCTCAGGTCCTTCGGTCAAACAATCCCTTTAATAGGCTGGTTCTATTTAGTATGTACAAGTGCTATTTGAGATGGTTCCGGAAACATCCGGCTAGAGTGAGGAACGAAGTGAGAACCGGAATCCTGGACAGTGATACTTTTCAGCTTTTGATTTGTTTAGAATGTTTCGCGATACAAAATTGTCTCGGGTGAGAAATAATATTTTGCTGTCAACAACTAGTTCTAATAAAAAAAAATTCAACAACAACTAAAACTTTGTAACAGTAAAGTTACGTAGTTGATATTAAATAAAGTGAATCGATTACTTCGTTACTTTATTCGACTGGCCCGTCATTTTGTGTAAGATCGACGAGGTAAAATGAAAATAAGAATTTTCAAGGAGTTGAAAATGTCATCGTCCAAAAAATAATGAATGAAAGGGATCTACATTTTCGTGTTTTATTTTTTTAAAAATTGTTAAGAAATGAGAAATATCATATAGTCAACAACCAAAAGGATTTTGTGAAAAGATATTTCATTAGATATACAGTATAAAGCTATAACGATTTAAAATGCTTTATAAAACTGATGATATACAACAAATGCAATTCAAAATAATAACACTGACCAGTTTTAGATTATAACATGGACCAGTTTTAGGATTGGATAATACACTTTTCACTTTATTTCATTTAGGTCATTTTGAATTATGAAGTTTGATCGTAAAAATGTTATCATGCATGGTCCTTTTGTAAATAAAGTGCCAAGTGTTATGAGATAATGGTGCTGATTGTGTGTATAAAGGGCTATATAAAAGTATAGTACGTTGTTAAGTCGATCGTAACATTCATAACGATCATTTATAAAGCCCTTGTGGCTGAGGGGTTGCTTTTATTGGTTATCAGAATTACAACCACTAGTAACCCTGCGTGATCGTAAGAGGCAACTAAATGGATCCGAATAACTGGAATCTATGCATCTCTTAGCTCCAGCAGGTGAGGAGGTTTTGACCACCGGAGTTGTTTTAAGTTTGTAACGGCCGAGGTTAGGAAAAACTCTCCTTTCGGCCATATATCACCTTAATTGTGTTGTTGCACCATAAAATGAAACAAAACAAACAAAAACAGCAATACTAGACAGAAATAATTTTATTATTTTCAGATTTCATTTTTAATGCTCATAATGATAATGAAACAGAAAGATAGATATTAACGAAGTTTGATTCACAAATATTTGAATAATTGACGTGTACGATTACAACCTTAAGACGATGGAAATCAAAACAAAAAATTAAAACCTAATCGATCGTCCCAAAAACATACTATAAATACCATGCTAATAATACTTTTCAAACATCGTAAAGATTCAAGACAGGACACACTGTTACTCGTTTAAGACACAAAGTATTTTGTTCTTTAATATACAGTTATTTTGTTCTTTAATATATAGTTATTTTGTTCTTTAATATATAGTTATGTGCATATGACACATACTTTTCACATATTATGTATTTACACGCTTGAATATGCCTTTGATTTGTATAATAGATGGATAGTTTATTAATCCTTCTGAAAAATAAGAAATCGATATAAAAGAAATATAATAGGATTAAATTGAAAAGCGATATTTTGTGCAAATCTTATAGTAAATTTGAGTTAGGAGTGTTTAAACGCTTTTCTCTATTAAGTCATTTTGCACTATGGAAATATGATTATTCTTCGGAAGCGAGCGAATGTCTGAATTACACAAGTTATTGGTGTAAACCTATATCAAATGGTATAAAAGTCCCGTCATGTTAAAAAGCCTCATTGCAGTCCATTTACCTGCTGAATTTCTTATATAGGGTTAACGCACGTTTTTCCGTGTTATAACGTCTGCAGAGTCCCGAGGAACGGTTGGTGCCCGAGCCCGGTAGGGCGAGGGCTCCAACAGTTCCGAGGGACTCTGCAGACTTTATAACACGAAATAAACGTGCGTTGACGCTATTATAGCATAAAATTTTCAAACAGATTCGTGATGTATAGTTTATACAAAACACAATTACATTAAAGTCTTGTGCTTGCACGGTATTTATCCAATTCTATGTTTTACGTATGCGTTTCATTTTTCCGGGGCCAACAACTTGGAAAATTCTCGGAACCGAACGAAATTTTGAATTTTAATTAGTTTAACAAAGCTTGACCTTTGGAGATTTATTATCTCAAGAAAAAAAACACGTTACATTACTCTACCCTCTACCCAAGACAAAACATGACCCTCAGAAATTCTTAGAATGATTTTAGATTGACGGTAGAAAAAAGATCATTGACATCAGAATCGGTTTTTTTTTTCAAGCAAACAAGTTTATAAAATAATCAGGCACTAAGCATTATTCTATCAAAGAAATATAAAGAGCATTTATCAACATTAACATAAATAAAAAACATTTTCTCATATTAATTTTGTGTTATCTAGTTTTGTAAGTTAATCGGAGTGTTCAACTGAATGACAGGTATATTCTACTGTATTTGTTTACATTGACAACTGTCCGTTTCTTAGAAAGGGCGACAACCAAGATTAGCACCGATGTCTTTACGCCGTTTTTCCGGCATAGTTACTTGAATGTGCGACTGAGGCCCTCGAATCAATAAATTTCAATATAACAAGAGCGCATGACTCTTCGGCAAACAGGCCAAATCGTCATTTTTTGTTTGTTTGTTTATTGGGCCCTGTATGTATTGCGCATAGGTGAAACCGGGCTATAACAAGAGCGCGTGACTATGTTAACACATGGTTTTGGTCCCGTTATAACATGGGCAAAATAGGGGAAAATAGCCGATTTTATGCTATAATAATTATGATTATAGTCGTGTACAGTTTTCATATATGCAATTATTCATTATCAATTTTGAGACATCAAGATGAAAACCTATTCAGTCAACAGTATAGATCGAGTCTTGTCAGATTGCACAGTTTTAAAGGCTGGCAAAGGCTGTCTGGTTAAACAACAAGTTACAAGAAACCATGAGTTTTATACAGTACATTTTCAACATGTATAGATCAGTCTACCCGTGCGGGTTGTTCAAATATCAAATAACATGTTTCAATACATGTACAAACCACAAAGAAAGCATACACAAAAATAAAAAGAAATAAAAGCAGTTCCTGTCAAACATTCAACATAGTGTGTGAGGAAAATAGTAATTAAAATATTCTAAATACTCGAAGATCGGATTTCTTAATTCAATAATGTTAAACACAAAAAGTTGCTTTTCTTTAGTGTCAGTTCGTTTTCCGTTGACAGTAAAAGTTGAGATTGATTCTAGGATCGGATTCAACAGAGGGTGCGTCTATCTGTAAGCCTGTAGCCTCTTATACAGTCGCACTTTAAATAAATACTTCATAAACTATGAAAGAATGAAATTCATATTTTATACTAACAACCATTTCAAATGAACTTTCATATAAAATGAAGGTAATTGTCAGTCTATGTATCAGGCAACAGTTTTGAACCATGTAAGGTCATGAAGGCTAATTTTGATCGTAAAAAATTATTAATATAATAATAATATTCTATAGCGTGCTGATAATAATTATTTAAAAGTGATAGAGATTTTAAAATTCAAGAACAAATAAATACTACAAGAATAAACTTTTTTTCAAATGGTACATGCGTACTATATATAATTTAGAAACTCTTAAAATCGACATGAATATGAGTAGACAAGTACTGTTTTTTTAAAGATTCATTTTGACAAGATGATGACACACAACAATGAAGATGCAAATTCTGACTGCGTGACATGTCACTGGTAGGTTGACCATTTGTGCACAATCTGGAATAAAAGCATAATTAATAGAACTATTTATTTCTTATTTTAAGATATGATTATCAAAGACATAGTGGTTATATTTCATCACAAAAAACAGAAAACGCGATTAGTAACCTTTACAGTTCTTTTCGAAATATTTCTTTGCGAAAACATTAATTTCTAAATTCCAAGAAATAGAGTGACTTTTCTGTTTACGACCAACTCATTGTTTTCCTCATTTATTTCTATTTGCTGTAAAGATATTACAATTTGTACGCTACTAATCGTTCGTTGTTCTTTATAATTTACTTATGATTACTATGAAGATGAACAAATATGCATTATCAATGCTTTTGTCGTCAATGATTATAGTAGTATGCATTTGTCCTAAAAACTCGTAGTTTAGCTATAGCTAATTAATTGCCTTTATAACTAGTTACATACATACACTTTAGAAAAGGTTACTCTCATCAACTGCTACACACAGTTATCAAACCTAACGATAAAACGAATTGAATTATAACCTGTAGCATGAGAGGTCATTTCAGTGTACGTTGTTTGAATTGTAGCTGTCTTAGTAGGAATTGTTACATTTGGAGACATAGCGGTTGTGGTACTTTTTGTTGCCATTGAAGTCGTTTGAGCGAGGGTGGTTGGAATGGAACCTGCCTCAGTCGGAGCTGTCACAGATGGAGACAAAATAGTTGTGGTATTAGTTGTTGCTGTTGTCTCGGATGTCGTGTGTGGGAGTGTTACTAAAACGGAAGCTGTCTCAATAGGAATTTTTACAGTTGGAGACGCAGTAGTTGTAGTACTAGTTGTTACCATTGATGTAGTTTGAGGGAATGTGACTGATATGGAAGCTAATTCAGTCGACGTTGTGGGGAATGTGACTGGAATGGAAGCTGATTCAGTCGGCGTTGTGGGGAATGTGACTGGAAAGGAAGCTGATTCAGTCGGCGTTGTGGGGAATGTGACTTGAATGGAAGCTGATTCAGTCGACGTTGTGGAGAATGTGACTGGAATGGAAGCTGATTCAGTCGACGTTGAAGGGTTGTAAGTTAACATAGAAGAGGTTGTATCAATAGACACAGTAGAAACCGCTTCAGTGGTCAAAGCTACAATTGCTACAAATAGAAAAGTCTTACTAAGGCGAGAACACATCTTGAACAAAAAAAGCAAAGTACACGATATGTATGTAACCACATAGTGAAATGTTCGTAAAATAGCATCAGTTTTTTTGGTTTCTATGAAAACTTTTGACGAAACTATGAAAATTGAATAAACAACCCATTTCTAAATTTGGTTATGTATATCTCGTTGGAAAAAAGAAAACTGTTAAGTACAAGTTTTTGCATTCTACCATCATAAACGTTTTCTATTTTTGGTCTTTTTTATTTTGGTTTTCATCCCCTTTTCATTCTTTACTGTTGATAGACTGTCTCAGGAGTCCATCTGTGCATTATTTCAGCACAAGCGTTCACCTTTGTAGAATCACCGACGTTCTGTTAGCTATATGTCATATGTGAATGGCAAAAACCGGAACTAGATATTATTCTCTTTACAAGCAACCATATAGTGATTCATTATTTACAATAACATTACAATTAGTTGATCTCCTTATTATTAATTCCGAAGATTAAACACATTGACAATGCTATTCAATTTGCCGTATAATTCAGCGTGTAATTTATAATTCTATAACTATAAAGCAAAACTGTCGGCGATGGAAATAGCATAGTAAAATTCAATGGACAACGTAAAGCAGAAATATAATTAAATTACAAAATGTAATGTCACTGCTCTATTTGATTGTGCAAAGGTCATGTGAAAAATTTGACTGCAGTTATAACAGCACTAATAAACATGTACCCCGAAAAAAAGGCTACGAGTTCTGAGAAATGACGTTATTTATATCATTTTATATTTTTAAAATTTATTTGTCTTATTGTTACACATAACGCTATACAAAATAATTATATTAAGCTGTAATTATAAAAAACACTAGAATATTACCTTTAATTATGGTTGCCTCAGAGGGACTTGTAACAGTTGGAGTGGAAGTAGATGTGATACTCGTTGTTGCCTTTGATGTCGTTTGAGGGAGTGTGGTTGAAATTGATGTTATCGTAGAAGAGATAGTATCAATAGCAAGAGTAGAAGGGGCTTCAGTGGTTCGACTTTAATTGGATACAAATGTAATATTTTACTAAGGGTAAACATCCCAAGAGACATACAGCTTTTAAAACAAGTATATAACGAAACTGCTGATTACCTTTGAAGCTAAATGTTCGTTAAATATTCAGTAAACAGTAAACACTAAATAGGCATTCGGATTCTTGAAGTCATTATAATTTGTTAATTAAGATAGACCAGATGCTTATTTAAAAGATAGGTAATGTCCTTCTTTCTACTTAAAACGAGTTATATGGAGTAGACTTAAAAGACAATATATAAATAAAAGCAAATTTAAACAAACCCTACTGAGGCCTACAATTATAAAATTATATACAGCTAAAATTCAAAATATGAATAGAATTCCATTATCAAAAATAAGAAGATAATCTAAATAATACGGAATTACTGTACGTGTACACATATATTGATAAATTAATATGATGTATTTGTCAAACCACTTACTGTCCGGGTATACTACTTTGAAAGTTTGCGGAATGGCCTGTACTTGAATCACAAAGAAGCCTGCATTAATTGGAAAAGATTGATCAGAGTTCACAAACGCCTCTGCTGCTAGAAGTAATGCGTCAATATTTTCTGTCGCTGGATCTAATTCAATAGTTGTACCTATGTTTCCTGTGTTTAAGGAACATAAATCCAAATACATGTAAGTTTACTATTATATTATTTATTTCGATCAGTTTTGTTTTATTTCTCTTATTATGAAAATTATTTTCATCCTATTTTGTACTGCAAAGTCAGTTATATATATACGAAAATGTTTTTGACTTATAAAATATATAAGTGTATAAAAATACAATTGGTTTTAGATATGTCACTATTTAACGCGATTGCAAACAATGCTATCAACAAACATATTCTAATATATACAAACTGTTTTTACCGATCAAAATTCATACACCATTTTAATCCAGAAAACATAATTTGATTTATTACCGTCAGCTTCATGAATAGACACAACTTTGATATCCTCATCCTTAAGACCAGGAACAAAATTTGGCATCTCATTTCGAATTGTGCTTGCCAAAAGGTCCTCCCCAACAAATGACACATATGAATACGGTTGGTTCACTGCAAAGCTTACTATTACAGAAATAGAAAAGTAGAGCATAGCGTTATGAGGATATATTACATGTTATTTGGGTTTTGGAGTGAGATACGTGGATATGTTACCAGCCAAGATTTCAGATAACTCAAGCCGTTAGAAAGAAAGTAAAAAACAACTATCGGCAGATTGCTTCAAATAACTTAATCTTTAACTTATAGATTAAACATTTTTTATATGCCCGAAAGAATTTCGGGCATATCATGTTATACCCCCTGGCGTCCGTCTGTCCGTCCGTCCATTAGCAATTTGGTTTCCGGAGCATACATTAAGTTCCATTTGGCCCACAGTATTCAAACTTCATAGGATGATTGCCCATATTGGGTAGAAGACCCATATTGATTTTGGGGTCACAATGTCAAAGGTCAAGGTCACTATTAGCTATTACTGAAAATGGTTTCCGGAGCATAACTTAAATTCCATTTGACCCACAGTATTCAAACTTCATAGGATGATTGTCCATATTGGGCAGAAGACCCCTATAGATTTTGGGGTAACAAGGTCAAAGGTCAAGGTCACTATACCTTAATACTGAAAATGGTTTCCGGAGCATAACTTAAGTTCCATTTGGCTCACAGTATTCAAACTTCATAGGATGATTGCCCATATTAGGTAGAAGACCCCTATCGGTTTTGGGGTCACAAGGTCAAAGGTCAAGGTCACTATTTGCTTAATACTGAAAATGGTTTCCGGAGCATAACTTAAGTTTCATTTGGCCCACAGTATTTAAACTTCATAGGATGATTGTCTATATTGTGTAGAAGACCCCTATTGATTTTGGGGTCACAAGGTCAAAGATCAAGGTTACTTTCACCTTTAAACTGGAAACAGTTTTCGCTCAATAACTCAAGTATTAATCAACCTACAGCTGTAAAATTTTATAGGATAAACAGCTTTATACCCCTGAAGTCTTTTCGTCCATCGGTTGTAGCATTTTTACTTACAAGATAACAACTTGATGGTGGTGCTTTGAAAACAGCAACTGTATATAAACATAAATGTTCTTAAGCTATAAAGGAGGATTACTTTTTGAGGGAGGTAATACTGTATTTAATTCCCATGTCTTACAAATGCTTCATCCTTACTAAAAGAAAAAAGTACTTTCGGACATATAATGCTCCGCCTAGCGGTGCTCTTGTTATTAATGTACGTGCCTAATAACATTTATAATTTTGTACATACATAAAGATACATTATCATAAACACACTCCTGAACACACACACTTCTTTGATTGCCTAGAAAATCAGTTCAATAGCACTCTGAGTAGTTTTTTGCAGGCAATTCCTACAGAGATATTTATTACATACACGTTAGGATATGTAAATATCAATCTTATTAACGTATTATCCGCTGATAAGTACCCAGATGTCATGGCAAAATGTGCAAAGTTCTTGTTATCTTTATTTAAATAATGTAATTATTTAAATGAATTTATTACATAGACAAGAAAGAATTGTAAAAGGATTGTTAAGAAAGTCACTATTTCATTTATATTTGTTACAATTTCGATTTCGCATTTAACAATGTTTAAAAAATGTTAAATAATGTCTTGCAAAAGTTGCAAAGCTAAAGGATCTACTGACATTTTATGCATTTCTAACCTTTCTATATGTAACGTTTGCTTTTAATGTCAATTATTTTCCTTCTTCTTCATTGTATGGTCCAAACGTTATGTACATGATAACTTAAAAACGAAAAAAACGCGTAAAAGCATACAAATGTTGAATACATGTATGTTTGCAGCTGAATGTGCTATTTTTGCGTAAGATGTTACATGTAGTTTTGTATCTTCTTGCACTAATATGATGTGCTGATATGATTAACGTCACTTCTCTTCAAATATTGTTTTATGTAATATATATAATTTTACATCTTTGAAATTGTTCCTTTTGTATAATTATGATGCTTTACTTTGCTTAATGTTATTTCTTTTCATTGACTGTTTTATGTAATATGTATATCTTCGAACATTCGGAAGCAATAAAGATGTATATATTCAATGTATTCAAGGTTTGGCCAAAAGTTATCTATTTTTTATCGAATCTTGGTAGCTAAAACTGATTAAAGCTGTTGGCGGCATTCCATCCAAATATATTCTATAAGAAAACGTGCTACATTGTAATGTCATCTTTCTTAATTTCTTTTTGAACAATAATTAATTAATTAAAGTTGTTGATGTTATAATAGCAAACGTTGTTTTCATACAACTTTCGCATTAGCATAAGGCATCAATAATGCCATGGGTGAGACTTTATCAAACATAAGTAAAAAAGAGTCCTAATAAGAATTTTTAATCAGAGTAAGAATGATTTAATTAAGCTATTTCTAACTAATAACAAGGGATATACGCCAGTCACAGAAGCTTTTGACAGAGATGTGGGCATTATAGATTTACATATAGGAGATATACTCTGGGCAATTTCTGTAAAATATCTGGATATATTATTATCTCTGGTGATTTTTTTATCTGAACTTTGACCCCTATGTGTGACCTTGACCTTAGCCGCAGGGACCTTAATTTTGCACTCGACACTTTGCCTCAAAATAGTAAACATGTGTGCCAAATTATATTGAAATCCCTTTATGCATGTAGACGTTTCGCTCCGGACAAGCATTTTTCAATGACCTTTAAATGTGACCTTGACCTTTGACCTAGATACATGTTCATGCACGCAACACTGTTTCTCATAGTGGTGAACATTTGTATGAAGTTTTATTAGAATCTTTTGAATGTGTAGGAGATATGCTCTGGACAAAATTTTTATATTCCATCATCCTCAGTGACCTTGACAACCATCTTTAGTGCTATTGCATATATAAACCTAAATTACATGTTTCACACCCGTAGTCATGATAATGACCATTTGTTTTTCAATCCCTCAATAAATGATGACTAAATGGTCCCATTACACATTTTCATATTTTTATTTGAACTTTTACCCCTATGTGTGACCTTGACCTTGGCCACAGAACCTAAAATTTGCTTGTGACACTGACTTACAATATTGAACATCTGTGTCAAGTAATATTGGAATTCCTTTATGCATGTAGAAGTTTTGCTCCGGACAAGCGTTTTTCTATGTCCTTTCTGTCATTTTCAAGCATTTCCAGCAATGAAATTCACAATTTGAAATCTGCTTCATATATAACTAAACACCGCATATTCAGTTACAATGGGCCAAAGGTTTGGAATTCTATACCATTCAATAGAGATAACTTATTCTCTGACATCTTGAAATTATAAAATCATATCATTACGATAAATAAATAAATAAATAAATAAATATATAAATAAATTATTTACATTAATATTGGAATATTAGTCAGTAAATAGGTAGGTAGGTAGGTAGGTAAGCAAGTCACGCCATAATTTAACGAGGCTTACGTACACAATCGGTTACCCGTTCTTCAATGTGGACCTCAGTTACAATATTTATTTTAGATACATAAATCAACTTTTGATATTTAAAAGATTTTTTTTTCAAATCAGTCAGATAATGTTCAGTGTAATTTCTTTTGACTCAATTTAATAGTTGTGGTTGTTGACTGTGATGATGTTGTTTTTTTTCATATGTTATTTTTTCTTTCTAAAATCTTTTCAGAAGGTCAGTTTAAATTTTAAGAAACGTTATTTGTGCTTAACGATTGAATATCTTCATGTGTTATTGTTATTATTATTATTACAAAATGTATTATTAATCATTATTATTATTGTGTAACCTCTTATATTTTTTTATAGAACATTAAGATTTGGCACCAGGACGCTTTATGTTATGTTATTGTTATGTTTTTGGTTGATATTTAGTGAGATAAGTAATATTGTATTTTATACTCACTAAAAATAAACAATTATTATCCTCAATGGTTTA